CACTAGCTCGCTTTGGCTCCCTCTTCGTCGTGCGCACGCTAGTCGTAGCTCTAGTGACGCCTCCTCGTCGTTGATGTGGCCGTGACTTTGCGGTCCGCCGTTCACTCACAGCGCGCACGTGGCTAGCCTCGCTCGGGTCATCTCCGGCCGAGCCAGCTTCTCGGTAAGGTCACTGGTGAGTTGTCGTTGCTCACCCGCTACCCCATACCGCCTTGTTGTTGCTGCGGCTCACCAGAACGTCGTCGCCATTGCCACAGGGTGCCCGCCATCGCGGAGGAGTCCTTCTACGGCGTCCCAGCTCGTGCAACCGCCGCCCATCGTCTCGCGTCGAACCCTAGATGAGCGTCGGCCTCGTAGATAGGTCAGAGTGGGTCCCATGTGGCCGGCGTAAGCGCTAGGGCCACCGCTCGCCACGCCGACACGCGTGGGAGTGGACGAGGACCTTGCCGTTGTAAAGAGGAGAAAGTTCTGAGGGTTTCGCTGCAAAGTCGTTGTCTATAGAAATAGTAACGTGGATTGCGGGTTGTTTTGCTCATAGTCTAGGGGCATTTTTGTAAGAGTGCCAGTGTGCACGGGCTTCCTCGCCGCGGGCCGCCTCCGCGCGTGGGCCTCGCCTCGCCTGTGGGCCGCGTTGGGCTGAAATCAGTTTAGTTTTTTCGTGGAGAATAGAAATAGCTTTTCATTTTAATTCTGGGCTAAACTTTGGTAATTAATATAAAATCATGTAGGTATCCAAAAATTGTGAAACAAATTTTGTTAAGTTTCTAAAATTATGCTCTATCTGTTAGTGTATCTAGTTCATATATGTGCTTGTTGATATCAGGAGCTATTAAATCATTTGAGAGTGTTAATATTATTAGGTTAAATATTGTAGGAAATTTTGTGGTAGATTGGTGATAGCAAAAACCCTAAATTTTTTACAGTAGCTTCATTGTATTATTATGTGTCACTGTAATTTTTATAGCTTTAGAATAGACTTAACATAAGGGTAGTTAAATGCTCTTTGTTTCAAATATACATTAAATCATTAGTAGAAATAGAGATATATCCTTCCATTGTAAAGCTAGGTGTTTGTTAGTTGAACCCAACACTTTACTTGATAAAGATGATAGTTAGCTTAGTATCTTAGTCATTAGAGCTAGCTTAGTAGTTTACCATGTGTATTCCTATTTTAAGAGTTGCTGTTATCGAAATGCTAAGTGTTGCATCATCATCACATGCATGTAGAGAACGAGTTGGCGGAGATCGTGACCATCGGAGATCACAAGTTCGAGAAGGTGATCGAGGAGTACGAGGAGGAGATCTTCATGCAGGAGGAGGGCTCAGAGGCGCCATTGACTGACTGAGCTGACACCGCGCCTGCCCAAGGCAAGCCCGGTGCATAACCCTTATTTTGAATAATCATTGAATATATATATGTGTGATGTGCATTTACGTTACAGGCATTTTATGGAAACCACATGCATAAATATATATGTCCTATGAGTCCTACTAGTATAGGTGTGAGTAGCTGCTATGCTTAGGTTTTTCAGTAGCATGAGTAATTGTTACTCACAATAGGTGATTATTATTATTACTCTCATGATAAAATGGTGAAAGGAAATGGAGACCGGGCAGGGACATGGTATGGGTATTGGTGGGTATAATATGTTATGTCCTGTGGCCAACAGGGCAAAACTTGGTTACACTGTTTTCTCTGTCCGTGTCGGTTAAGGACCGGCCGTTGCATTAGATTCTAGTCAGGTCACAGACTTATTATCCTGAGCACATACTTGCTTATGCGAGTGAGAAGGCTCGTTGCTCTCTTGTCGTGGGTTTTGGCTCTTTCCGGACCGACTGATTGGAGGCGAGGATGGTGGAGGTCTAAGCACCACACTGAGTCCGGGACTCAGGTGTGGGGGCTTGGAGTCCAAGTTTGGACGGGGATCTGGACCCCTTGACAGGAGAGTGGTGGGTTGGTCCTACTTGTGCCTGGGGTACAAGCGGAGTGTGTGTTTCGAGGTACCTAGCTGGGCTATATTGGTTCACGAATCGCCGTGTAATACGGTATGACTTGTCTACGATCTAGCACCATAGTAAGAACTGAAAAATGAAAGATGGTGAAATGGATCTGATTGCTCAACTCTTGCTTGAAAGTAGAATATGTGCTTACATAGAATGGTTAGCTAATGAACTAATCATGACTGCTAATAAAATACATACATAAGGATTCACTGCTAGTAATGCTTTTGCAAAAAGAAAACCCAGCAAACCATAAAGCTTATCATATCCTTTGGAGTCGGGAAATTATTTCCACTAATCGGGTAAGTCTTGTGAGTACATTGTGTACTTAGGGTTTATTTATCCCTGTTGCAGGTGCAGCTTGAGGGGTAGCTGTTGTGTGGAGTATTCTTCTGGTGGGCACAGACGGATCCTTGTAATTTATCGATAGATGTTTATTTTAATTTTGCTGTTTAAATTTCGCACTCTGAACTTGGTATTATAATAATATATTTATGAGAACTCTTGTTGTATGAAATGGACTAAGTATTGTAAACTCGTTCTCATTATTGGATCCTAGAGGAAAAACATGGATTGTTCGAGTTCTGCCTTGAGGTGTGCTCGACGGAATCGTCCGATATAGCTTGCTTTCGGGGTGCTTAGTGTCGGGTGGAAGACGAGTGCCTCCGAAAGCGTGCTATTTTAGACGGTTCTGCCATAGTTATGAGGGGTCAAGTGGGAGCGATGCTAGATTTGCTCTAATAGATCAATTCTGGTTAGAATTGATTTGATGAATGCTTTAGTGAACCATATCTTTATTTATATATGTTGTGGGCTCCGCAGCGGAATCCTAGTGCGGTCTAGGGATGCCACTGAACACGAGAAAGAGTTATCTAATTGCACTATTTGGTGGATCTAACATCATATGCCTTAACATGTTAGCTTCAAAGCATTGCACGTGCTCCCTCCGTCCAAAAAAAGATGCAATTCTTATCTTTCGAGGTGTCAAACGCTTTCAAGTTTGGTCAAAGTTATACGAAAACTAACATTTATAATACAAAATAAGTAACATTAAATTAATTACGAAATATATTTTCTGAATAAATCGATTTGGAGACATAAATGTAAAGACTATTCATTGTAAACTTAGTCAAATTTAAACTACTTTGATGGACATGGATAACATAGTTGCATTCTTTTGTGGACGAATGTAGTATATAGTTGTTTAGGTGATGCGCTAACCCTTTGAAATGGATAAAAACAAATCGTTATTTGAAAAACTCTGCATTAGGGCTGGATAGCAAGCTACCTCGGCTCACTAAGTTAACGGGCTGGCTCGGTTCGGTTCATTAAAGATGAGCTAAAACTCTAGCTCGGCTCATTACGAGCTCGTGAGCCAAGGCATTAACAACTACAAGAAATGTATAAATTAGGAAATACCTACCTGTTCTATGCAAACATCAAGAAAAAAAAGAAAAGAAATGCAATGCATAGCATAGATCGGTTTTAGATTTCAATAACATGCACACATCACCATATCAAACCTAATTGTTGCTTATTAGAGTCGTTGACGTTGACTATCAAGTATCAAGCACTTAACTCGTTTAGCTTGCTAGTTGGTTTATTAATTTTATGAGCTAAAATGTTAGCTTGGCTAGTAACAAAATGACCCAAACACTACATGAGGCATTGAGGCCTAACCATTTTCTACTATTTCTAAATTCTAATGCTGCTCTACACGAGGCCCAACCATTTTTCTGTTACAAGTGCGTTGATATCTTTTGGCACAGGGAATACCTAATTCATGTGCTAGTCCCGTAGAAGAAGAGAGCAACGCAACCTGCTAAGGTTGTGTTTGGATTGCAGGATTTTTAAAGGATTTTCAAACAATCGACTTTTCTATAGTTTTGACTCGTGTAGCAATGTTTGGAACATAGGATTCCTTCGTTCCTTTTCGATGGAAAGGTTCCTGCACCTGTACGATTTGGAGGGAACCAAAAATCCACAGCAATCTCTTGTTTGTTTTTCCTTCATGAAGTCCAAGACAAATCTCACTCTGGCCGCAAGCTCATCACGTTCTTGCCACCGTGGATGTCCAAACTATAGTTGATCTAGCTCTTGTAGTAGTATATTTAAAGGAGAGATCGTGGGGTAGCTGTTGAATGGGTCCACAATTCGTATTCCTGTATTCTAAATACCCACTCCAATAAAATTCCTACATTCTTTCATTCTCTGTTTTGTCATTGTATTCCTATTTCTTTTCTATATTTTCTCCCATTCCTCAATTTTACAAGTCTGAAAAAAAGCCCAATGACATCTGAGGCCCAACTCTGTTTATTGTGCATTTGTTCTTTAGGCCCATACTGTAGTTGGCTAGAAACTGGGCAGCCCTAATCCACGTTGGAAGGCCCATATTGTGGTACTTCGAACCGAAGAATCCATACTGGAAAGCCCGCCACTGACAATTGTAGTGGGCCTGAAAGATAATCGTTAGGTCACAAGAACAGATGGCAGAGAACCAACCATTTGATCATCCATAAGTTCTTTGCATCAGAGTTCACACTGCATGATAGTACTACATATGTGTCTAGTAAATGATGGCAGTTGCCACAGCATCAGCAACAACAACTACTGTATAAAAAAATAACCCAGGAGAGTATTTTCCCTGCCATCCCTGCAGCAGCTGCAGGCGGCGACACTCATCGTCGATGCATCGCTTTCCCACACGTTTATTGCCATAGTATAAGTACACGAACACCTTGGATCACTTCACATCGTATACATACATGGGCGAGCGTCCCAGAGACCTTTTTAAGGCTTCGCTGACAGACGACGACAGGTATGCCTACCAACACCAGAAAAAACCTCAAACCGAAGAAGACCGACCATCCATAGCGCTATGGTTCCATACTGGGTGTTAAAACCTACTAAGAAAAAGGCCAGCGGCGGCGAGACAAGCACAAGCGGCTGCCCTGTGTTCCTAGTGGCAGGCTGAAGGGAGAGCCGGCCGGGCGGGCCGATCACTTCCTCCCTTTGCCGCTGCCGTACAACCGGAAGAGGTTGAACGCGGACACCAGCGAGATGACGACCATGCTCAGGCTGGCCGCCACCGCGCAAGCCATGGCACCACCCGCCTGCGCGCAGAAACGCTTGTAGAGGTGGCACGTCTTCATCCACTGGAACTGCTGTGACCCGTACTTGCCGATCATCGCCGCCTCCATCGCCACGGCCACCGCCGTGATCGTGAAGTACGCCATCACCTGCACATGCAAGCGCCCCCCAGGTTGGTCACAGAAGGTACGTAGAGTTACTACTTTGTACTGTAGTGTAGTGTTTACGGCAAGAACAGGCAACGACAGAAGACCATCATGTGTGTAAGACAGGAATTAGAGCGATCTAGAGCTTGGCACAACGCCATGTGATGGCTCTGGTCTGTGATCTCACCTACTGCTACTGCTGTTCTTGATTGTACTGCACTGCGGCTGCTGCTGCATTCAGGCAGCAAATACACGTACATGTTGGTATACTTACATTTGACAGTGAGCCAGGATGGCCAGTCTGTTTCCCACAATTTGCTAGCCATGGAACATAGCGGTCTTATCTGTTCACTGCACTAGCAGGATATGTATATGACCACAAATGACTGGAAAACGTACAATTACTGTCCTGAGGCCCGGATATGCAGTTCATCTGTATGTTAATAGGCAGATGGTTCTAAATTTGGGTTCGGGCACCTTTAAGTAGCAAGTCGTTTATTTTTATCACAGTGATTTATCAATTTCAAAATTTTCAAAGGAATATGCTAACCATAGCTCAGTGTTTGATTGTGATATGCGGTCTGCTATACGGAGGAAGGCTGGAAGGATGTGACATGACATGAATACATGATCACATGAAGATAACATAATCAACAATTTCAAGCAACACGAGGTGTCCTGTAGGCTATAAATGCATATTAAGGTGCCAATTAATGCCAACTTCTATTTTCCCTGTCTTTATACAGGTCAAGATGTCCCTAAAAGAACGTCAGTGTTGACGGTACGCATAGCAAACTAAGTGTTGTTCCTATCAGTAATTGACACGTCCAGCATACAAGTTACTTACACCTAAACTGTGCCTTTCATATCTCCTGCTTCAATCTGCTATGACAACATGTATTCAATATTACTGTTTGAAGGTCAGAGTTGTCCAGCGCAGCATGATTACTTGTTTTTTCATCACAGGTATTTCCCCCCAAAGAGGGTTAATCTAATGACGTTACTGTGTGTTGACCCAAAACTTTGGGTAACCATCTACTTTACACTAGTAGAGAAATTAGCTGTACTCCTGGTTCGCAACCCCCTTCAGTCTCGGTTTTGGAACCGAGAGCACGAATCCGGGACTAAAGAGCTATCCTTTAGTCCCGGTTTTACGCCCGGGGCTAAAGGTCGGTTGGTAATACCAACCAGGGCTAAAGAGGCCTCCCGGCTTGACCACGTTTTTTTTCCACCAGGTTTTTTTTGTTTCTATTTCTATTTTTCTTTTTTTTCTATTTTCACGCTGCTACCAGTTTTTTTTTGTTTCTATTTCTATTTTCTTTTTTTCTATTTTCACGCTGCTACCAGTTTTTTTTGTTTCTATTTCTATTTTCCTTTTTTTTCCTATTTTTAATTGATGATTCGTTTTGGTTTTTGAATACGCATTCTACGCTGCTAGAATATACGTACGTTTATAATGTTCAACATTTTGTATAAACTATAGTACGAAGGACCTTTAGTCAAGGATCAGCGGTACAATCCTATAGAGCAGATCCTGTTCAAGTTCGTGCTGCATGGTTCGAGAACTGAGCTTTTAAGTTAGCTTTCACTCTTCTGAGCAAGCGATGTGGTGCTAATAGGTGGGACTAGCCAGCAATTCAAGTATATTACGTACTGGGCCGCTCCATTATGGTATATGCTCTCTCCTATGTGTGGGCTTCAGATCGAGCCAGCCCATCAAGGCTCCTATAAACGCCCGGGACTAAAAGACCTTTAGTCCCGGCTCGTAATACCAGCCGGAACTAATTGATTTGGTCGTGTTCAAATCAATTGATTTCCTACGTACAATACCAGTCCTCGATGGTCAGCCGGGACTAATTGATTTCCTACGTACTAGTGTAGCAGCTAGCTAGCAGTCCTCGATGGTCAGCCGGGACTAATTGATTTCCTACGTACTAGTGTAGCAGCTAGCTAGCAGAGAGAGAGACTGTTTTGTTGGCTTACACGTACTGACGGTGAACAGCTAGCTAGCTAATGTAGCAGCCGGGACTCGCTCCCGTACACGTACAGCTATGAGCCGTCACGCAGCCGGCACTCCACGGACCTCAATCGGTTGGAGATCTTTAGTCCCGGTTGGAGACAGCAATCGGGACTAAAGGTCCCTTTCTAGTCTCGGACGGAGCATCCAGCCGGGAGTAGACTTTTACTCTCGATTGGAGGAACCAGCCGGGAGTAAAAGTTAACCTTTAGCCCCGGTTTATCCCTTGCAACAAAAGTTTACCACAGTAGCCGTTGGACAGGACCTTTAGTCCCGGTTGGAGCTACCAACCGGTACTAAAGGTTTCTCTAGTCCCGAGCGCGAAAAATATCGGGACTAAAACCAAATTTTAAAGTGAATCAAATGTCGTTTTTCTACTAGTGTTATGTCTCCATCACATTCCGTTTGCACAGTACAAAACATGTTCAAGTGCTCAAGGGCTACGGAACAGCAGCCTTTCCACTCAAAATTGCCCCGTTCGTTTGGCTAATAAGCCATGGCTGAAAGTATTGTTAGCTGATTTATTATGAGAGAAAAATACTATTCATTGGCTGAAAAAATATAGCTTATAAGTCAAGCAAACAGGGCTAAAAAAATATTGTTGACTGATTTTTAGAAATGATAGCAGAACAATAACCACTTGATAGTGACAAATAACACACATGCAACAAGAACATAAAGACAGCGACTAAAAAAGTATAAAAGCTGATAGTGACAATCATAAATACTTGCCTGATCACAGGAGAAGATAGCCCATGCCATGGGCCTGTTGATGAGGACACCACCTGTCAGAATGCTCACCAAGCACCTCGCCCCCTGGAGCAGGCTATAGCACGCTGCCATCCCGTTTGCTATCACCAAGAATCTGCATGCCAGCAATTGAGCTTTAGCAACACCTTCTGTCATTTATCCTCTTCGACTTTAGTTATGAGCTTGTAATCCTATACTCTTATAAAGCAAAACCTCACTAGCATCATTTTTTCTTGATATGCAAGGTGTCCACATCAACAGTCTACTGTCATTTGCAATTAAAATTCAATAGCACAAGCAATTATGATATCCACGTCATCGAGACACATCATTCACTAACATACATTTAGTTGTCCACATCAGCGTGCCACGCTCTCCATTAACATTAGTTTATAATATAATAGTTAATCTCTTCCTAAGAATTATATAAATAGTTAAATTTCATTCCAAACCAGTAGTTCCCGCAGCAACGCGGGATGTTCTTCTAGTTAGTTAAAATCCTGAGTGTTATCACTGTAATAAAGATGGATTGATGCTTCTTCTTAGAAGAAGACCGAAGCCGGATTTCTTTTTCCATTATCTTTTTTGAACAATTTTTTCCCATTATCTAAAAAAAAGCAACACCTTCTGTCAGGTTGATAAAATTTTATGCTTCTAATGAAATAATTCAAAGTTCCACACCACTGGTCCTGGAAACTTATGTGATTTTTTTCATTGATGCACTTGACGACTTTCCTTTCATGCGGCTCTATTGAAAAATCACCTACTTTGTGGGCACGGTTAGCTCTTCAATATGTCAGTACTTTGAATGTTACACGATCCCATGCGGCTGCATTATGAAGATGGCCCTCCTCGCAGTTTTTTTTTATGTTAGGCTTACAGCACCGAGGGCAATAACTGTTTTCACTCCTACATACGTATTATTCACTGTTGACTGCCGAGAGTAATAGTAAATCACACTGATCATGGAGTCGTGTATTATTAGTTGTATTTTCAATGCAACACTGATGCTGCTACCAAAAAACTAAATTCCCCGTCGTTACATGTTTAGAATTGTAGGAATTGAATACTGTACTAGCTACCCGTTCGTTTCGCTGAAAAAACAAGGCCTTGTTTAGTTGACGAATTTTTTTTGGGAAATGATACCGTAGCACTTTCGTTATTATTTGGCAATTAGTGTCCAATCATAGTCTAACTAGGCTTAAAAGGTTCGTCTTGTGAATTTCATCTAAACTGTGTAATTAGTTTTATTTTTTATTTATATTTAATGCTTCATGCATGCGTCCAAAGATTCGATGTGACGAGGAATCTTGAAAGATTTGCAAAATTTTGGGAATTAAACAGGCAAGCTGAAACACTGTTCTGACTGATTTATTGTGAGAGAAAAACACTGTTCTGACTGAAAAAACAAGTTGAGAAGTACGGATTATAAAAGAAACGAACATGGACTATATAACTACTGCTACCAATAAAAAGATACTTGTAGATAATATGCAGTACTAGCACATGTTAGCACAGTTTATATATAGAAACTATTTAAGAAAAAATAAATGAATACGTCAAATACAAAGTGAATACTAGAGAAAAGGCACAGTATACGTAGTAGGAGTACTAGAATATTGGGAGCACTGCTAACATGCGAGACAAAATTGAAGCTCCAGATACGGCGGAACCGTGCTGGTACGCGAGAAGTAGGTCGCATTCATGCGCGCTCATGAATGAGGGACGAAGTTAACCATTAACACTGCAACGGGTTGCCAAAACCACCACGGGGTGGTTGCCATACTTCTACACCATGTCACAATGATAACTAAACTCCTTGTTTCTCGTTTAGTTTCCACCCTAAAACTTTATACCATATCATATCGAATGCTTTGACACATGTATAAAATATTAAATATAGACTTAAAAAATAACTAATTGTATATTTTACTATTAATTTGCGGAATGAATCTTTTAAGCCTAATTATTCTATAATTCAGTAATAAAATACTACAGTAACACATGCTAATAACATATTAATTAGCCTTAATAAATTTAGTCCTCGTTCGCTTGTCTTAAATTTGACTTGCCGGAATAGTATTTTTTTCTCACAACAATTCAGCCGGAACAGTGTTTTTCAGCCAGTTTCAGCCAAAACTTAAAAACGTAGTATCAAACAGCTCGTGTACGTGACGTCCCAAAACCTTACGGTCTGATGTAAACATGGCCTCAAACCCGAAGCAGACCACATCCACAGCACACCGCACACGCTGCCACCGGTGTGACCAGAGGGGTAAAAAACAAACACTGCCAGTGCCATGTTAACAAGGGACAGGCAGCGCCATGAAAGCGGCTGCTATTCTGGGTGGACAACTCCACGGCCACGGCGTCCTTCCCTTTCCCTTCCATGCGAACTACGGACGGCCAGGCAAGGACCGGTGGCAGCCACTGCCAAACGCATACGTACGCATCAACGCATGGGTCCGTCCTCGGCGAAGCGGCAAGGAAATAAGGCCAGTATTAAACATAGAAAAAAAAACCTAATTACATAGTTTGGTTGAACGCATGGGTCCGTCCTCGGCGAAACGGCAAGGAAATAAGGTCAGTATTAAATATAGACGAAAAAAAACTAATTACATAGTTTGGTTGAAAACCATGAGACGAATATTTTAAGACTAATTAGGCCATAATTAGCCATAAGTGCTACAATAACCAATATACGCTAATGATGTATTAATTAGTCTTAATAAATTCGTCTCGAATCTCGCGGTTTCTAGACGAGCTATGTAATTAATTTTTTATTAGTATCTGAAAACCCTTCCAACATTGCGAAACATCTGATATCACGTCAAAAATTTTCATTTCGCCAACTAAACACACCCTAAACCTCTGCTCCCGAGCCCAACTGTGCAAGCGGCCGGCTCGTCGTCGCCGCCGTACGTGTGCTGGGGCTTGTGACATCTGATTAGGACGCGTTTGATTCTGGAGAAATTAATTTGCACAAAAATAAAGAAAGACCACTGAAAAAGAAAAGTTCGCTTGCTACTGTTGCATGCGTACGCATCATTGGGAGGCCTAATTAATGGTGGATGGGAATACTTGCACAGGGATGGCGTCATGGCGGGGGCGGAATTGAAAGTCACGAGGGGAGGGGAAGGGAGGGCCGGGAGGGTGGGTTGACGGAGGCGCTTACACGAGCGACTGCATGTCGGTGAACCGGGCGGTCTTCTCGACGGCGAAGATGGTGCGGGTCTGGCGGTCGGCGCCCAGCAGCGCAGCGGCGAGCACCGCGAGCCCGCACGCCGCGCACCGCATGAACAGCTCCGCGGCGCGCACCCGACGCTCCAGCGACGCCGGCACGCGCCCCGCCGCGCCGTAGTAGCACACCGGGACGTTGCCGGGGCTCACACCGTTGTCGGCTCCGCCTCCGTGGCTCATGGCTGCGGCTGTGGTCTCTCTGTGTCTCCTGCGAGCTGCGGGTTCTTCTGCCTGCCGCTGATGAGGAGGGAGGCGAGTGTGGGAGCGGACAGCGGAGGAGTGAACTGAGAGCCGCGATGTACGCTGCGAACTGTGGGAGTAGGAGGGAGGTGTTTAAAAGCACAGAGCAGAGGCCAGCGGCGGCAGAGGAGCGTAAATGTGCAAGGGTTTTCGCTAGATGCGCTCCACCAACCCATCATAATGCTTGGGTAGACGTCCAGTTGAGAAATTAATGGACGAGATGAAACATGGACATGATTTTCATGTTAGAATTTGTTTGTACTTTGTACAGAATCCACGGAATACGAGTTGATAGCCACATGATTTGCAACACGCCTCTATATTCTGTGATACTCCCTCCGCTAAAAATGAATGAATTCTAGCACAGTGTTTAAATTAAAATAATTAAGTTTAACAATATATATATATTAAAATACTAATATTTTATTATATCAAATAAGTATTATTAGATTTGTCATTAGATAGTTTTCATAACATATTTGTTTGTTGTTATAAATATTAATATATATGTTTGGTCAAACCTTAGAGCAACTCTAAGGATCTTTTTATATCTTTCTTTATTCATTAGAATAGAAATTATGGTGAAAAACAAACTGCAATAGCTTATGCATTTAAATCTCTGTATATATAACCATTCTCTATTATAGGATTTTACTAACCAAAGATGGAGAGCAGGAATGATGAGTGCGAACAACCTATAGTGAAGTTGTTGGAGGATAAAAAAAGATATAGAGAGCAATTTTTATTTAAATACTCCAAATAAGAATTTAGGAAATGATTTTAAGATAAATTCTTAGAGATGCTCTTAAATACTTTGACAAAGAATACACAAAAAATTGCATTTTTTTAAATGACGATAATATATTAGTATACGAGGTTGCCAGATTAAAAGGAGTATTTCTCTATTTATGCCGAAGTAAAATAGGATACAAACGTATTGGAAACATCTACCACGGCCCGATCAATATAGACAACCAAACAAATGACCCATATTAAAATGTATGCTACTCCCTGTATTTCTAATTATAAGACGTTTTGTTTTTTCTAAATACATTCATTTGACTATGTATTTAGACATAAGTAGATATCCAGATATATAGTAGAATTTATGTATCTAGAGAAGACAAAATATATTATAATTCGAACGGGAGGAAGTATGCTATCTTAGCGTTTATTAGATCATATCCCTGTAGTTATCTTTGATCTTTCCCTTTTTCTAATATAACATTTAACTCTTTTATATTATGAAAGATATTAAATCATATCCACGACAATAGTCGGACAATGCACGTCAGGAGCCTGTACGGATGTTTGACTCTTCTCCCGTTGTTGACAGCTCGTTCGCTTATTGGTTTCAACCAGAGCTTATCAGTCAACCAACAGTGTTTTTCTCTCACAATAAATCAGCACCAGCCAGCTTATCAATCAAGAAACCAATCAGTAAATAGGCAGTTATCGCAATCTTCGTGGCGCATTCATTTGGGCACCGAAGAAAACATGGACTTGATCATGTACATAGAAGTGCCATTTAGTCCCGCCAAATAACTTCCTGTTCGGCAGGACTGAAAAATACTGTTCCGGTTGATTGTTGTGAGAGAAAAATACTGTTCTGACATGACGTGAACAGTGATTCTGTGAGAGGAAAAACAAGCCAGCCGGCTGGCTTTAAGCCAGCCGAACACGCCCCTTAGCTTCCCTAGCAAATTATATATGCCCTTGTTTAGTTCCACCCCAACTTTCAAAAAGTTGCTACAGTATCTGTCACATCGAATGTTTGCGGCCTATGTATGGAGCATTAAATGTAGACGAAAAGAAAAATTAATTGCACAGTTTGGTGGGAAATTGCGAGACTAACGTTTTGAGTCTAATTAGTCCATGTTTGAACACTATTTACCAAATAAAAACGAACGTGCTACAGTAGTCCTAAAAATCCAAATTTCACGAACTAAACAAGGGCTATATCTAATATTAAAAGCTAACTTTTATTCTTATTATTTAGTCCATCTCACCGTACTACTCAGTGGAAATTTTCTCTCGTCTTTTTTTACTTCTCAAACTACACTCACATTCTTGTTGACTTAGACTCATAATACGTGATCATGCAAGTTAGAACAAGTCATGTCTACCCGTGATCAGTATGGACTCCAATTCCAAGATGCATTGGGTAACATTCTCTTTTATCTCATATGTGATCAGATTCACGATCTATTCTCATACGAGTTAGAGCAATATCGTCTAACGATGATATAGAATCTGATTACTATACACATTGGATTTGATTGCAACGCACAGGTACACATTTACTAGTCAAAGTAAAACAAAAATACCCCCACTTAGATTTAGAGCATGTGACCGTTTGCCTTAAAAGGTGAATTTATCATTCATCTTATTTTTTTACTCTTTAGGTGCTCTTGTTTGTTGCTAGTTGTTCTTCAGTCTTGCTCGGTTTGTAAAAATTGATCCGATTACCTTTTGCTTAAGAATTCTAAATTATATGTACTCTGGATTGCTTAACCACACCCTCGCCTTCCTGCCTTTTAAACCCCAATCTATGCTTACTTTTTAAATATCATCTTACACAAAATGATTTCAGTAATTGCTAACTAAAAGCAAGAACACGTATGCATGCCTTTTAAAATTATACATTACTGAAAGGATCAAGATGCTCAAGAGGGGGTGAATTGGACTAATTCTAAATTCTTTGCAATAATTAAGCCCTACACTTAGCCCACTTCACCCCTTATATCTAGAATGTGTTTCTATTGATCTTCCGCATAAAAATTTAGCCCCTAGGTTCTAATCCTACTCTAGCATGGCAATTCTAGGAATATAAAGACAAGAAATAAATTATTCAAATGTAAATGCTTAAAGTAAAGAGAGAGAAAGGAACGCGGCGATGTTTTCCCGAGGTATCGGAGAGTCGCCACTTCCCACTAGTCCTCGTTGGAGCACCCGCGCAAGGGTGTAGCTCCTCCTCGATCCACGCAAGGATCAAATGCTCTCTACGAGCTGATTTTTGACACTTCGTCGCGGTGAATCGCCCACAACCGCTCATAACTTGACTTGGGTCATCCACAAGCTCCGCTGGATGATCACCAAGCTCCCAATCACCACCGAGCCGTCTAGGTGATGGCGATCACCAAGAGTAATAAGCACAAACTTTCACTTGACAAAGCCAAGCCTAATGAGAAGGGTGGATGCACACTTGCTACTATCTATGTACTAATAAGGTCCTTAATCTTGGATTCTCAAGTCTCAATCACCTCACTATGCTCTTGCTTTTCCTTGCACTCCAAAGGTGTTTCTCAGCTGAACAAATGGGCAAGAGACCTCCCTTGAACGAGCCGTAACCTTTGATTGGACTCTGACCAGCGCCCATTAACCTTTGACCGGACTCTGACCGTGTCAGAAAGAGCCGTTAACCTTTGACCCTTGAACGAGTTGTAACCTTTGACCTCCTTTAACGACTCTTTTCCTTGCACTCCAAAGGTCTTTCTGACACTCCGGTCATTATACCCGCCACCGTGTCAGAAAGAGCCGTTAACCTTTGACCGGACTCTGACCAGCGCCCGGTCAGCACTGACCGGACGCGTTCGGTCAAGAAAAACGCTCTCTGGAACCTTACTGATGTTGACCGGACGCTATGGAGGAACTTGATATTAAAGGAGATCTCACATATACCGAGTACCCTATCAAGATCTCGGGAGTAGCAGAAAGAATCACTCGGAGTAAAATTATCAGAATGTGTAAGGTTCAGTGGAACAGGCATTTCGAGTATGAGACAACATGGGAAAGAGAGGAAGATTTAAATTCAGAGCATCCCCATCTTTTTCAATATTTCGAATCTCGGGGATGAGATTCATCTTAAGGGGTAGGTTTATAACACCCTAAAAATCATTCTCAGAATTAGTAATTAATTTGGTTTTTATTTTATTTTTTCATGATTTATCTAGGCCAAATAACAATTTTTATGAATATCACAAACAAATATAAGGGTTTAAAAAACATTTTTGCTGCATTCATGCTGGAGCATAAAATTTGTTTGAGTGTAGAGCTACAGTTGTGTGGCTTGAATTCAAACCTTGTTTGAATTTGAGACAAGTTTGTAAAGTAGAAAAATAGAAAAGGCTTTTCTTTTTCTTTTTCTCCCTTCCCTCTCTTTCGGCCCAGAGCCAAAGCCAACCCAGCCTACTTCCCTCCCCCTCCTTCCTTTTTTCGCGCGCGCCATAGCCCAACCGAAGGCCCGCTCCGTGGCCTGCTCGGCCTGCCCGACCACCTCCCCGCTCGGCCCAACCAAGCCACTGCCATGTCGCTCCTCCTCCCACTGCCGCCCCATCCCCACCCGTCAGCGGGCCGCACCCCTTCCCCTACCTCTAGCCAAAGCGGCCGCCGCCCGTTTCACCCTACCGGTATCTGCCGCCGCGGTAGTGGCCTTGATGGCCACTCAACCGCCCTCGGGGGCCATAGTGGCGCACCTGCAGTCACCCACCGCCCTCCCGGACCTATAAAGCTGAGGTCCCGACCTCCCCTTCCTTCTCTTTCTGGGTTCCACCACCCCACCGCCCTCCATCGCTTGGCTGCTGTCCCCTGTAGTCGCTACCCTCGTCGCCGCATCAACAAGCCCCGAAAGGTGAAGCCACACCCACCCGTGGTGACCTCGTGCCCTTTTCTTTTGTGTCGCGCGAGCAACAGCTCATCGGAGCTCCATTTCTCTCTTTGTAGATCGTCGCCGCCGCCCTCATCGTGGTGAGCCTCCTCGCCATCGCTGTGCTCCCCATCGTACTCGCCGTTGTCCCCGCATCGCCCCGGTGCCACCCGCGTCGTGAACCGAGGCCGGGAGCACCATTCCGGCCGCTCTCCGGCGAGCTCGGGCCCATCCCCATGGGCGCCGCTGCGAACCCCGCCGCTGGTCCACGGTGGACCGAGAGCATGTGCACGGT